CTACCCCTACATCGGCCAGGTCCGGGGCTGGGAGGGGGGTGTAAGGTCCCCATCTCCCCTCTCTCCCCCCGACTGCTGCCCCAACCCCGTCTCTCTGGTCCCACGCAGGACGAGAGCTGCATGTACAACCCCACCGGGAAGGCGGCCAAGTGCCGATCCCCCAGGGCAACGAGAAGGCTTTGAAGAGAGCCGTGGCCAGGATCGGGCCCGTCTCCGTGGGCATCGACGCCAGCCTGCCCTCCTTCCAGTTCTACAGCCGGGGTGAGGGAAACCCCCTCCAGTGCCCACTGGCCGCAGTGCCGCTTGGGGAAACTGAGGCACGGCCGGATGGTTTATCCGTAGCGTAACCGTCTGCCCTGTCCCCCAGGCGTGTACTACGACGAGAGCTGTAACGCCGAAAACATCAACCACGCGGTGCTGGCGGTGGGCTACGGCGCGCAGAAGGGCACCAAGCACTGGATCATCAAGAACAGGTACGGCAGGACGGCGGGGCTGCTTCTCACCGCGGTGGGCTTCGCCGGCGGCTCAGGCTTCGCCTTTTCTCCCCGCAGCTGGGGCGAGGAGTGGGGCAACAAGGGCTACGTCCTGCTGGCACGCAACAGGAACAACGCCTGCGGCGTCGCCAACCTCGCCAGCTTCCCCAAAATGTGAGCGCTCCCGGCGCCCTCCCCTCCCGCGCCGCGGCCAGCCGCTCCTCCCCGCTTCCCTGTGCTCAAACTCAGCCTTTTTGCTCCCGATCTCCGAATGTGGCATCGCTCCGGGGTGGGATCTCTGCCTCTCCACGAGGAATCTCCCCCCAGGAGAGGGGAGAGACCCCCCTCGGCCGCAGATGAACGGTGCGATGAGCTTCCCCCAACTCCCTTTTCCCGGGACTCCTTCGCGGTGCCGGCGCCGCGTGTGCCCGGTTCTACCTTCCGGCCGACGCCGGAGCCTGGGCTTGGCCGACTCCGGAGAATCTGATCCATCCGGAGACGCTGGTGCAAACAGGTCCCGCGGTGGCCTCCGGGAACGCGTGGGGACGCCGCGGGTGGAACATCCCCCCCGCGGAGAACGCGGGTCCGTCTCCCCCCCACCCGGCGTCCCCGTGGGGGCCGCAGAGAACAACACGGATTTATTTTTAAAATAAACACTTGGGAATAAACGCTGGAGCTGCGGTTTGCTCTGGGCTGCGCCGGCACCGGGGTGGCAAAGGGCTGCGGTGCCGCGGCTTCGGCGCGAACGTTTGCGCCAGGGCTGGGTGGGGTTTTGCAGCCAAAATCCTGGTGTCACCCCAAAATCCTGAACCCGAGAGCTCCTTTGAACGCAGCAAACTGAGAAATGATGCAGGGATGCTCAGGGTGAGCCCCAACTGGAAGGGAAGGTGATGCTCACTTTGAAAATTCACGCCAAAAAAAAGTTTCGGTGCTTAAAAAGAAGTTTCTCCCACCCACTCGCGCGGTGAGGAGGATGAGGGACACCAGTTAAACCACTGTCAGGATGCGCCGTCGGGATGGGCTGAAACCAGACCGCTGTGAAAAGAAAGTGAAATTGGGCGTTTCGCCGTTCGCCGGCTC